TTCCACTTTTTGTGCAAATCCTCTAATAGCAGAAATGCCGCCCTTCACTCTCCAACCGTGACCCTAAGGGGCTTTTACTCGCTTTTAGGGATCATCCCCAACGGATCCTTTACGGATACTATCGTCGTCACAGGGGAAGTCATGTCGTATCATGATCCCTTCAGCAAGTATCACTTAATCCTCTCATAGGTTCCATTTCACGTAATAGTACCGCAATACAGCTCACTCTCCACTTCATCCATTTCAGGGTCATATTAGTATGATACAAAATTGAATATTTCCTCCCTAGAGGCACTATTGTATATTGACATATCACATTCTTTTTGAAGAATAGCTTTCTTAATTTGGAGGGTGCCCTGCAATGTACTAATACGTCTTAACTCTGGAAGCACATTGACCTTGGTGTTACCTCCACCTTGCTTGGCCTCTTGGAATGTCTATGCGGGTGTCTTCATGCAGCACTCTGTCCTCTTTGCTCCCACTGCTCCAGGTCTCAATCCATTCATGCAACACCGTGACAGTCTCCTCCAGCAACTACCGATCTTTCCCCCACTTCCAATTCCAATTGTCATTTTGTTTACACCTAATGCATTTTCACTTAGTCCGGCGCGCCTCTGGCCATTTTTTTATCCTTGGCTATTTGTCGTGGATTTGTAGGGTCGAGTTAAATTTGGTCTGCTTCTTTTTTTTTTTTTTGTTATCTTTTGTTGTTGATTGGAGGTTTGTGTCTGTTGTTGTTAGGTTTTGCGAGCGGAATGTCTGGTATCAGCGAGTGTGGTCAGGTTGTGTTACTAAGGTAGGCGTGGGAGATTGCGGTGAGTCGGGGGGGGGAAATCGTTACTGGTTGGGGCGATTTTTGGGATCTTTGTTGGTGGTTCTTTGTTCGATGTTCCAAGGGGGCGGTAATGGGAGGCTGTTATTGGGTACATATGTTGAGGTTTTTGGTTGAATCTTCCTGCTCTGTTGGCGTTGTTTATTTTTTAAACGGGTGGTCTATTTAGGGTGGTTGGGTGTTTTTGACGCGAGGAGGGGTATTATCATTTTGGGCGTTATTTGCAGTGACCCATCTAAGGTTATGGCGTCCTCTCTTGGATCGGGAGTTAATGGGGTATTATTTGAAATTAGTCGGTCATTACTTGGCGCTAATCTGCAGAAAAGTGGAGTTTGACTTTGATGTCGGTGTTTTGCGGCTGGGGGATTATGGGGTAGTAACGGGCAGAGTACACAACCTGATATTGGTTCTTCAAGGGGCCTCTCAAGACCAACATCCTGTATGTCTATGGCAATTCGTTCATGTATATGTTTTCATGTTTTAAGAAATGTTATTTTGGTTTCATGTGCTAGATAAAAGGCCAAGCTGGGTGGTTTTTCTACATAAATCGGTCGTTGGTAATTTCTTACTTAAGGTACAGAGTTGGGAGGTATAGCGTATGGTGTTGTGTACAGTAAGGAAATGGAGACATCGGTTACCTTAGTCTGTGATGGGGGTTTCACTAAAAAATACACGAAAAAGTCATGATCAGTGTGCCACAATACATCAACGATCAATTCAAGAACATTCTTGCTATTTTCTACCGATAAGGGCAGAAACTAAAACTGTTAATAAAACAAATAGTTGTAAACTTTTAAATTGGGACTTTTTGCAAAAAGGTGGAAAATATAAATACAGAAATCGAAACAATCTGGAGGTTAAACTTTCAGCATCTGCATTGTGCTAACGCCCAATCACAAATGCCCACAATGAGCTCTGCATTGGGTGGGGGCTGTGTGGGGTCTTGTGCGGGGGGTCGTTGACAAAATGGTTGTACGGTAAAAATTATTTATTGCAAAGCAGTGTTTTACAATGTATGGCAGGAAAAAAAACACACATTTGTGTTGCATTTTAGGCCTCATACACACAGCCACAAAGGGTCTGTACTACATTATCAATTAGGGGAATGTGTTTCAGTGCTCAGATTCAAAGGGTGTTTGCATACATCCATGGGCAGAGGCCGGGTACAAATTATTGACAGGAGTTAGTTGCCATGGAAGACATCATGTCTGAACGGCATGTTACTATTATATGCACATCTGAGTAGCTACATGCATGAACAGCCCAGTTTGAATCCAGGATGTTATATTACACGCTTACAGCCGCAGTGTCTATAGTCTGTTATTGATTCCTACAACCTCTGCTTGAGACAGCACTCCAGGGTGAAGAATGTTCTCTCTGTAAGGACTGAGGTCTTGGGACTCATTTAAATGGGCGTTGTGACCTGTACAGTGTGATGAGAGGTTTGTCTATGCAAGTTGGAGCAAACTCGAGCTACATGCCATAGGCTATGGTAACTCAATGTGGATGCAGCAGTTGTATGAACACAACAACAGGTCTTCATTTGACAGGAGTGGGCAGGTGTGTAGTTTGGGAATGATCATCAGCATACCTTTCAAATTAGGTCCTTCAGTTGGTTCGTTCATAGTGTACAGGCCGCGACAGTGCCCATGTAAATGAGCCCTTGATGAAGTATTTTTTTGTTTTTAATAATATTTTTTATTATTTACTTACACCTTTTACAGCCCTGTTGGGGGAAAGGGATGGTGAAATGTGAGGGTCTAAGCAGACCCCTTGTTGTCTCACTCTTGAGAGATAGAAAGGGATCGACACAGACCCCAATTCCCTTCTCTGCACTGAATTAATGAATAGAAAGTGTTCTGTTACAGAGGCTACTGAAAGCATGGTAAAACACTGTGTGCACAATCCTGAAACTGATTTCCATGACAGCTGGCAAAAGCAAGAGAACGATAAGCCAGCAGAAATGGGGGGGGGAGAAGGGGGGAGTGTTGTGCAGAGTACTTCTGGGAGAAATAGAGCGGCAGGAAGGGGTGGATGTCAGAGAGTTGGGGGGAGATGCTAGATTGGCAGATGGTTCTAGGAGAGCAGAGGAAAAAAGACAATAGCGATGAAGGTAGGGTGGGTGGGGGGGTTGGGGGGGTGTCAGGGCTCCCAGGTGTGACCAGAAGATGTTGACTGACGCAGGGAAACGCAGACTTCAGATATTGTGATAAACAATGTAAATTTATTAACACTAACAATACAACCATAAACGCAGTGCAATACTAAAACATAATACATGCAAACAAAACCAAACCAACCACCCACAGATAACAGTACATTACAAACAAGCAAGCGTCGTCAGGCAGCCGGGTCAATATCCATAATCGGGCAGGTAGGTACAGGGGGAGCAAGCGGAGATGGTCGGGGTCACAGGCCAGGTTCAGCAGGTAGCAAGCAGCGTAGTTCAGAGGGTCAGGCAGAGGATGGTCAGGGTCACAAGCCAGGGATCAGAACAGGGTCAGCAGAGAATCAGACAGGAACAGAGAGCAGAACAGGATGCAGGACAGATACAGGGCCCAAGGACAAACACAACACCAAGGCAGAGTCTGCAAGTCTGGCCATCCCTTAAATACACCAGTATCATCAGTTCCAGGTGTTTAGCTGGCTGAAAGGTTGAGTCTCTGATTGCTGGGAGCACCCGCTGGCCAGCCCTGGTACTGCAGATCAAAAGGCAGGTGAATCCCACCATTGCTGGCCAGTCCATTCCTGACAGTACCACCCCCCTCAAGGAGCGGCCTCAGGACGCTCCAAACAGTCCCTAGCTGGGCAAAATGTTCCACCGCCCGGGTCTGGTAACTGGCGGGATATCAAAGACTGGCACACCGGGCAGGACTCCCGGGCAGCGGCACACCGGCAGGCAGCGGCACACCGGGCAGAGGCACACCGGGCAGAGGCACATCGGCAGAGGCACACCGGGCAGAGGCACATCGGGCAGGACTCCGGGCAGAGGCACATCGGGCAGGGACTCCGGCAGAGGCACATCGGGCAGGACTCCGGGCAGAGGCACATCGGGCAGAGGAACTCCGGGCAGAGGGCACATCGGGCAGGACTCCGGGCAGAGGCACATCGGGCAGGACTCCGGGCAGAGGCACATCGGGCAGGACTCCGGGCAGAGGCACATCGGGCAGGACTCCGGGCAGAGGCACATCGGGCAGGACTCCGGGCAGAGGCACATCGGACAGGACTCCGGGCAGAGGCACATCGGATGACAGGCGAAGGAGCAGGGCAGAGGGCCACCGGGCGGAGCCGGCAGGCACCGGCCCACAGGGCAGGGGCACAGGCACCGGGCCCCCGGGCGGGGCTACAGGCATCGGGCCCCCGGGCGGGGTGACAGGCATCGGGCCCCCAGCGGGCGGCGGGCGCATCGGGCCCCCATGCGGGGGCGACAGGCCGGGCCCCCCCGGGCGGGAGCGACAGGCATCGGGCCCCCAGGCGGAGCGGCGGGCCGCCGGGACCCCAGGCGGGGCGACAGGCATCGGGCCCCCAGGCGGGGCGACAGGCAATCGGGCCCCCAGTCGGGGGCGACAGGCATCTCGGGCCCCCAGGGGGCGGAGCGGCGGACAGGGCATCGGGCCCCCCAGGCGGGGCGACAGGTCATCGGCCCCCAGGCGGGGCGAGCGACGGCATCGGGCCCCCAGGCGGATCGACAGGTCTCGGGCCCTCAAGGCGGAGCGGCGGCGGTCGCCGACCCCCAGGCGGAGCGACAGGTCTCGGGCCCTCAGGCGGAGCGGCGGGCGCCGGACCCCCAGGCGGAGCGACAGGTCTCGGGCCCTCAGGCGGAGCGGCGGGCGCCGGACCCCCAGGTGGAGCGACAGGTCTCGGGCCCTCAGGCGGAGCTGGCGGGCGCCGGACCCCCCAGGCGGAGCGACAGGTCTCGGGCCCTGCCAGGCGGAGCAGGTCTCGGGCCCCAGGCGGAGCGGCGGGCGCCGGACCCCCAGGCGGAGCGACAGGTCTCGGGCCTCAGGCGGAGCGGCGGGCGCCGGACCCCCAGGTGGAGCGACAGGTCTCGGGCCCTCAGGCGGAGCGGGCGGGGTCGCCCGGACCCCCAGGCGGAGCGACAGGTCTCGGGCCCTCAGGCGGAGACTGGCGGCCGCCGGACCCCCTGGCGGAGCGACAGGTCTGACAGGTCGACCAGCCCTCAGGCGGTGCGACAGGTCTCGGGCAGGCGGTGCGGGCGGGACCGCCGACCCCCAGGTGGAGCGGACAGCGCTCAGGCCCCGAGGCGGACGGCGGGCGCCGGACCCCAGTCAGGTGGAGCGGGCGCCCAGGTCTCCGCCCTCAGGCGGAGCGACAGGTCTCAGGCCCCCAGGCGGGAGCGTGCGGCACGGGCGCCGGACCCCCAGATGGAGTCAACAGGTCTCGGGCCCTGGCAGGCGGAGCGGCGGGCGCCGGACCCCCAGGTGGAGCGACAGGTCTCGGGCCCTCAGGCGGAGCGGCGGGTGCCGAGTCGTCACCAGGCACGACAGTGGGCTCCGAGTCAACTGGGCATGACCGCTGGCACTGGGTCAGACATTGGATCGTCTGGCTGGACAGCGGGCATCGGGTCACCAGGCATCAGGTCATTTGGCTCGACCAGCGGGCACCACCGCGTCATCTGGCAAGGCAGTGGGCTCCGAGTCAACTGGTATGACCGCGGCACTGGGTCAGACATTGGATCGTCTGACTGGACAGCGGGCATCGGGTCACCAGGAATCAAGTCATTTGGCTCGACAGGAGCGGGCACCGTGTCATCTGGCAAGGCAGTGGGCTCCTGAGTCAACTGGCATGACCGGGGCACTGGGTCAGACATTGGTAATCGTCTGGCCGACAGCGGGCATCGGGTCACCAGGCATCAGGTCATTTGGCTCGACAGCGGGCACCGAGTCATCTGGCAAGGCAGTGGGCTCCGGTCAACAGGCACGGACAGTGGCACCGGTCAATGGTCATCAGGCATACCGGATTGTCTGGGCTCGACAGCGGGCTCGGTGATCCCAGTTATATGACAGCGGGCACTGGGGTCACCAGGCATTAGGGTCATTTGGCTCGACAGCGGGCACCGCGTCATCTGGCAATTTGTGGGCTCCGAGTCAACTGGCATGACCGCGGGCACTGGACAGACATTGGATCGTCTGATGGACAGCGCGGCATAGAGTCACCTGGCCTAAATAGGATCAAATCAGGGCTGGATCAGTTCATCATGCTGGGTAGAGGCATCAGGCTTGATCTGGCCGGCGGTCCGGCTGAGTAGAGGCTTCAGGCCGAGTAGAGGGCTTCAGGCCGAGTAGAGGCTTCAGGCTGAAGAGAGGCATCCGGCTGAGTAGAGGCTTCAGGCCGAGTAGAGGCTTCAGGCCGAGTAGAGGCTTCAGGTGAAGAGAGGCATCCGGCTGAGTAGAGTAGGCTTCAGGCCGAGTAGAGGCTTCAGGCTGAACCACGGAAGGCAGGTTCACCGGTTTGGATACTGGCAGGATGGTATTGGTTGGAAAGAATTTTCGTTTTTTTTCTGGTTTTAACTACTGGAGCACTGCAAGTAAACGCAGGTCTGCAAACGAATGGAGCAGCTGGAGACAGAGAAGAACTGGAGGATGGAACAGAAGAGGAGAGCAGTTGCTACAGAGGGCTTTTTTACAGGGTTAAAGGCAGGATAGGTGCAGCGAGTGGGAACAGGGTACTGACATGCGGTAGATAGCCAAGTATACTGGGCTGTAACTGGAGGAGCTGTGTTGGGAATAACAGGAGAAGAGTTAGAAGCAGGACTGGGTCTTTGTAAGCTGACTGAGGCTGGGTTGCAACAAGTCTGTCCATGTCTGCAGTAGGGGTTGAACAAAGCTGAGCTTACACAAAGCCTGTCTGGTCAATGACTGCACTGCGTTTTATACAATCTCTTAGTGTCTGTGGTGAACATGTGGAATAACGCTCCAGAAAAGTAACCCACATCATCCTCTAATAACCACACAACAGGGACTCCTGGGTCTGCACTAAATGGTGGCAAAAATTCATCCCTGCATTCGGGGGAACCAGATGAAACCAACTCAACACAAACCTGAATCAATGGCTGCACCATAGAGAAAATCTGTGCCCTGATCTACTAGAACATGAGCGAGCCGTATACATTCTAGTAGTTCATCCCGGGTATACTCCTTCAGAGTTTGATAAGCATACTCCCTGTCATCAAACACTAGCAGATATAAATACACAACCTCATCCAGATCCATCCTTTCCCATATCAACAAGCCAAGATGGCTTCCCTGTGCAGCCACTTCTGGTCAGGATTGGCCTTGGTGTAATGTCAGGGCTCCCAGGTGTGACCAGAGATGTGTGACTGACGCAGGGAAACGCAGACTTCAGATATGTGATAAACAATGTAATTTATTAACACTAACAATACAAACCATAAACGCAGTGCAATACTAAAACATAATTAGTGCAAACAAACCAAACCAACTCCACCCACAGATAACAGTACAAACAAGCAAGCGTCGTCAGGCAGGCCGGGGTCAATATCCATAGGGCAGGTAGGTACAGGGGGAGAGCAAGCGGAGATGGTCGGGGTCACAGGCCAGGTTCAGCAGGTAGCAAGCAGCGTAGTTCAGAGGGTCAGGCAGCAGGGGATGGTCAGGGTCACAAGCCAGGGATCAGAACAGGTAGCAGAGAATCAGGCAGGAACAGAGAGCAGGAAACAGGATGCAGGACAGATACAGGGCCTACCAAGGACAAACACAACACCAAGCAGCAAGTCTGCAAAGTCTGGCCATCCCTTAAATACACCAGTATCATCAGTTCCAGTGTTAGCTGGCTGAAAAGGTTGAGTCTCTGATTGCTGGGAGCACCCGCTGGCCAGCCACTGGTACTGCAGATCAAAAAGGCAGGGTGAATCCCACCATTGCTGGCCAGTCCATTTCCTGACAGGGGTCACATTTTAGATGAATAGCTGTGATCAGCAGCTTGTCATCTGATGATCATGGTTATTTTTTTTATTTAGCAAAAGTCTTTCTGAATGGTTCTGCTATAAGTTCATGGTCACTGGCCAGTCGGCATGTGTTCTATACTGACCATTCGGAAACTCGGGCACTGCCCAAGGGCCCGGGTCAGTAGGAGGCCCCATGAGATGCCCCTGGTACCTTTTTCATAGGCTTTTTTTAGTTTGGGCAAGGACACAGGGGCCCTATGATCCCTATTGCCCGGGGGGCCCCATGAGTTGTCAGTCTGCCCCCTGATACTGCCATGAGCCTTACGTCACTCAGTAGCTGTGAAATGGTTAAACCATATTGTTAACCATCACACATAATCTGACACCTCTTTAAAATTTTATAATGTAAGGCAAAAACTAGAAAGGTTACAGCAACTATGTAGAAGCCACACAAAAAGTATTTTCACAGTACAATGTACACTTTATTATCCATAAAGGAGGCCCAAGCAGGCTACCAGTTTAGTAACACAGAGATTCTGCACATATTTCATATATACCTCAACAGAATTTTGCCTACTTACATTACCAGCAAACAGCTCTACCAAACACATACAGCATACATTTCCTAAACCTTTGCCACCTTAAAGTAAAATTTTTTATGCTTCAAACCACTTGCCTACCGGGGCCAATTTCACCCCCCCGTCCTACCCAGGCCAATCTTTCAGCTTTCAGTACTGTCACACTTTTTGAATGACTGTTGCGTAGTCATGCAACACTCTACACATCATTTTAAATCACTGAGAGCTTTTCTTTTGGAGGTATGTAACCACCACTAGGGTTTTTTTGTGCTGCTAAACAAACAAAAAAAAGACCAAAAAATGTTGAAAAAACAATGTTTTTTTCTTTCTAGTTTCTGTTATACAATTTTGCAAAAACAGGTAATTTTGCTCCTTCACTGATGTGCACTGATGAGGCTGCACAATGATGGGCACTGATATGCAGCATTGATGGGCACTGATAGGCTGCTGCACCAATGGGTACTGATGAGGTGGCATTCTGATGACGGCTGCACTATAGGCAGTGCTGATGGGCATTGACGAGGATCGGCACTGATGAGGCTGCACTGTGATAGTGGCAACTGATGGGCACTGTTTGGCTGCACTGATGGACACTGACTGGTGCATGGCACTGATTGGACACTCACTGGCAGCACTGATGGACACTGATTGGCAGGACTGATGGACACTGACTGGTAGCACTGATGGACACTGATGGCAGCACTGATGGACACTGTTGGGACTGGGGGCTCTGTACTAGACGGACTCTGACTGTTATAAATGAGCACTTGCCAATTTTACTGTCTCTTCTCTTTCCTCACACCCTGTGACAGCATGAAGGAAATTGCAGCCGATCAACTGGCATACTGCATCATTAACATTCGTGATCTAACCTGTGGTCAGGGGACAACAGATGATTCATGTGGTAAAGGGCACGCCAATTATTTTTCTACTGTGACTTGGCCCTTTACCCATGTCATGGTGATACAGTGTGTCTGGCAGACCATCAGCAATCACAGAGCTCAATGGTGTGCAACAACCCAAGGGGCACAAAGGAAGGTGTGGGTTCTGCGAAGGACGTCATATGACACTCCTCCCAGCAACTAGATGACCGCATATGTAGTCATCATAGAGCTATTAGCCCGGTCTTGAAGTGGTTCATAAAAAATTCATATTACCTTTCCTCTCTCATTCTTTTAACCCACTTTTTGTTTAATGCTGAATAAAGTTTGCAAACTTGTAATTAATCCATCCTGTAGGGAGGAGGAGAAACATAAAATACTCTAATGTCATCAGCTGTTGGGCATTTCCAGTTGGGTTTCAACTAGCACGCAAAAAAACTTCCCAGAGAGGGGCTAACTCCTCAGCCTATGGTACTGTCAGCTCACAGGCTTCTATCCTACATGTCTATATGTGTGTAATGTGAGCACACCTATTTTCCATCTCAACAGTAAGCCTTTTTTTTCTAGTCCTGTTACACTAACTACACAAGTCAATGCAAACCTGCGGCAGATTCTTCCTGAACCTATCTTCAAAGGATGCCACCATTTAAATAAACTCTTTTTTTTTAATTGACATACTCATTGCCACATTGATATCAATTCCAGATAAACAGTTCTAAGCCGTTACATTGTCTTCCCAGTCGGCTAGGTGTCCAAAGCCAGGCCAAAGGATGAGAGGAAAAAACAGAATGTTTGTTGATCAAAAAATGAAAATAGCTCTACAATTGTGCCATCATTTTCTTAAAAAAACAACAGGCGTATTGGAAAGGCCTTTAAAATCAAATATCGCAGCTGGCACACTAATGATGTAAAAAAAACGAATATAGTGAATCGTCACAATCTTGTTTCTAGTTTTCAAAGTCAATCAATGGCCAGCTTAAATGCTGTAATAACATGTAATCCCAGTTTGTGTAATCCAATAGCAATTAGTACTGTCCTTGTGAGAAACTTTGTGAGGGAAAGTAGATGATAGTGTGGTTTCTGAGTCATACATTGGTTTGTATTGTTTTAGCTGCATCCAGATTACACACACATTCAGGAATTTGCTGTAGCAAGCAGTAGGCTTCAAACACTTTACAGACACAAAATGTTAGTAGCAAACATTATGTATTGGGCTGCAAAGAAGAGATTGGAGTCACTTTCTTGTTCAT